CTGCTGAGCAGCTTCAACGTCTCAGCAGAGCACAGCGTGCCCTCCCTGCCTCGCACAGGCAGAGGAGACTGTGGCTCACTCTCTGCCGTCACTTCACTGACCTTATCATGTCCCCTTGTAGATCCTTCTGCTGGCAGTAGCTCTCATAGCGCTGGAGTGCAGCGTGTTCTATCGGTGCTGCCAGAGCGAGAGCTGTAACAAAACCTACCGGGTGAGTCCGTGCTTTATTTTTGTGCATCTCTTCAGCATTTGTTCTGAGTGCCTTCCTGCTCCCCTGTTCTTAGCACATCCTTCCGCCCTCTCTGCTGCTGTTTCTGCTTCCTTTCACAGACAAGGATTCTAAGTCAGGTTGAGAGGTCACAGAAAATGCAGCTCCTTCCTTCTGATGCATAAGCAGGATGAAAGAAAAATAAACCAAAAACCCTGCAAAAAATCCTTGTAAAGGCCTGATATTTTCAGTGAAGTGCTTCAGCTGAATAGCTTCATCACCTTGCTTGCATTATCTAGGAGTTATTTTTTCCAGTAACGAGTCAATATGCACCATCAGGGATGCAAACATGTTTAATGTATGGTTGTGTTCCTCTAGCGTTTTGGGAAACAATTGTTCAAAAGAGCAAGTTTAAAAAAACCAAACCAAACAATATTTGTGAAACTGTCTTAAACTCTGTCTTAATCTTTATTTTGTGTGTGTGTACTTACCATTACCTTGTATTTTCCATTCTGAATTTTGAAGAGTGAGACAATCAAGTGTGAAATTTAACCCCAAGAAAGCAGCTAGGCAGGCTGAATGACTGCATTTGCTGTGAACACTATCCCCATACAGTAATATTATTCTCTTTACTTCAGAGTTTTATTTCAATTGTGCTAGCCCTGCTTGGAGCTGCTTTCTCTGGGTACAGCTGCATCATTTTTACCGTGGGGCTGATCCAAGGCCCCTTCTGCAATTCGTCAGGTGGCTGGGATTACATCTTCAAAGACACTGCCGGAGGGTAAGAAACATCCATGTAACTCTTCTGGAAGAACTTTTCATTGAAACAATGGTCAGACACATTCTCTCAGAGAGCATATAAAGCCCAATCTGGTTTTTTTATGTATTATAGGTACAATAGTGTGTATTAAAACTGAGTGGCACCCACCACATTTTATTTCCTTCCCATTCCTGTTTCTCTGACAGGTACCTCACAGATTACTCTGCCTGGTCACGGTGCACCGAACCCGCTAACATCGTGGAGTGGAACATCATCTTGCTCTCTGTTCTGATTGCTCTCAGCGGGCTGCAGTTGATAATCTGTTCTCTCAAAGTGGCTGCTGAGCTGAAGCGGACACTCTGCGGGACCTATTCTGTTTTTGTGCAGGTAACACAACACCTGAAGTAATTTCTTCAGCATCTCCAAGTCTGTCTAGCTTCAGCAGTTTCTCTCGGTTGAGGACCCACCCTTTGGCTGATGCATTCTCTATGCTACTGCATTTTATCACCAAAGGATACGTACTGAGAATGAGTCTGGTGTGTCTGATTCACCCACGGACGCCTTGTGGTACACCGCGACTGGTGACTGCTCATCCTGGCCTCTAAGGCTGGGATTGAGAAGAAAATGTGGCTGTGGATCCAGCACCGACGCTGAGTCCATGGCTCCTCTGTCAGCAGAGGGTTCTGAGCTGTCTTTGCTGTGGCAGTCAGTTTAAAGTCGCTCTGATGGATGTGTGAGTTTCACAGCAAACAAGAAGATGCAGAGGTAATATGCAGCAACCATCATCTAGGCATCAGTTCCCACTGCTTTCAGTAGGTTGTTGCAACAGTGACTGAGAGGGCTCTGCCTCGGGCGGAGGGATTGCTCAGAACCCCGGAGCTCCGGGGCTGATGCTGCCAGCCTGCCTGTCGCTGTGCGGGCAGGGGGGTGGGAGGACAGAGCGGGGTGGCAGGAGGACAGAGCGGGCAGGGGGCAGGAGGACAGAGCGGGTGGGAGGACAGAGCGGGCAGGACAGCAGGACGGCATGACTGTGCCTCCGCAGCACGAGGGCTGGTGACGGTGACCAGCACTGTCGGCCAGGGCAGAGACCTGCAGGTGCCACAGAGGCCGTGGGCAAGAGGCGAGGACGCACTTCTTGTAGGAATTCACTGTAACAGCCGCCTGCAGCCAGGCCAAGGCCCGGGGAGACTTCTCTCAGAACATTCCCCTGACAGGCCTCCAGCAGAGTCCAGAGGCGATGAAGCCACACCAAAAGGCAATGAAGCCACACCGTCAGCTGGTCCCAGGAGCCCTGAGGGTGTGTCAGGTTTAGATCAGACGTGGATGTTGAACAGTTAAACAATTTCTATATTAACTTGAGTTGAAAAAAGAGGGCAATTACTTCCTTTCTTTTGTATTTGCAGGCCAGGATTCTCTGAAAACGGCACAGAAACCGTCACTGCTTCTCCCTCACCCCCAGAAAAACAGAGCAATGGCTTCTCCAGCATTTACGAGGACAGATTCGGGTGCTGCAAAGACAAATAAAGACCTTGTCTTAAATCTTTGTCACTCAAGCCTCTCTGTTTTGGATGAAGTTATTTGAACTGTTTGACATCCCTGTTTTCCTGGTTGTTTTCTAGTGTGTCTGGTTGTCCCTGGCTCATCATTTTTTACCCTCCAGCTTGTTCTGAATACCATGGAACTGCTTTTATATTGAAATCACCTTTTTTTGAATAAACTGCTGTAAAACTGCCACCGAACTGCTTTCACAGTCCCCTCTCTTTGTTCAGAGCACAGGAATTCATGTTGTTCGCAGGGGCTGATCCACAGCCGGTGCGTCAGGAGGGCTGTTCACTGCAGACCCGGAGCACTGGAGGAGCCAGGATTCCTAAATTAATGAATCCTGGTTACAGACTGACCATGATGGTCGCAAGAGGCAGCAGCCCATCCTGCTCGTTCCCTCTTGGACGTTTGTTACTGCACAAAGCAATTACTGAGAAAGTCGATCAAGCCTTCCTGCGGTACGGCTGCCAGAAAGGCGCCCAGACCTGTCGAATACACAGCTCTGCAGTCAGCTGCGGTAATTAATGCGTGTTCATAGCTGAACTGGGTTTCTTTTTATTTTATACTCAAACTCCTTTTTTTTTTTTTAATCCAGCATTATGTGGCATGAGGAAGTGCATGAGGGAACCTGGTGAGCACCCAGTGCTGGCTGATTGACACTCCTCTGAATTCCCCACCTTGCTGCGATGAATGCTAACGTGCTTGACAATAACGATCAGACAGAAAAGAATAATCTGGTTTAAATTAGCAGCTAAAAAGTCTTTTTAATTACTCAAAGAATTATTATTTCATTGAGGAAATTCAAGGATTCACAATAAAGTGGACCTACGGCTCCTTTGCAGCTGCACGGGCAGCGTTTGACTCTCCAGCACTCCGGTTTCGAGAGAACCCAGAGGAAAGTGAAATACCTGCTTCAGACTTGCAGTGATACACGTAACCCTATCGCATCAGAACTAGTGGGATGCAGCTATATCAAGATCTAATATAAAACACTGTTAAATCTGCAAATCATACAATAAACGGCAGCTGTGTGTAAGATATTTAGAAAAATAGAGTATATCAGTCATTTAATTCTGTTTCAAGACAATGTTGAGATTTTGCCTTTATATTCATTTATCAGATTGTTTTGAAAAGCTGATTTCTTCCTATAGGATTTGAAGAATGCATCTAAAGTTTTAATTGCTCAGTTTCTATTAAGGTGTGGGAAGAAATAAATAAATGAATTAATGATGTTTAGGAATGGGCCTAGTCTTTTGGGAGATGGTTCAAGGTAGCATGGATATTCAAAGATGTGTGATAAAAAGTCTTGATTACAAAATGGGGACTGTTTGCAACTGCACATTTCTTTTCCCTAGGCTTAAATATATATCATATTGTATGTCTACTTAAATTATAATTTGATTATAATTAGTAGGCCACATACCCATGAACAACTCTGTTAGCTGGGTACTAAGGAATGAATTTGAGCTTAAGTAGTATAAGAGGAGATAAACATTTTCTCATTTTTATCTTAGTTAATTTACAGAAAGGGGCATATGCAACCTGTGCAAGCTGATCTTTCCACTAAACCACTGACCTTCATGCATGGCCAAAAAAAAAAAAAAAAAATTCCCCTACAGAAATAATTTTGAGCCTGTTGACACCAACCTGGGAAACTCCAGAATTTCATCATAGATTTGGACAGATTTCGAAACCTGGCTTTGCCCACAGCCATTTAGACAGAAGCAGAATCCTCCATTTAATGCAGATGTGTAGAGGTTCCAAAAGGTGAGATTATTCTGACAGTACCTGATTTTTTAAATATGAATAGTGATTAAAATTAGTAATTTATATGTATGCCACAGTCCCAGAAAATAAGGTTTAGATTTGTATGTCATTAAAGGAAACTTGTCATACTTTAGTTATGTTCTGAATCTTAGTCTTCTACCCAAAATAATAATTTTTCTGACCATTAATAAAATAGCTTCAAAGAAGATTGTGGTTATTAAAGATATTTTTAAGTTGACATAAAATGAAAAGTGTCATTTAGAATGAGAATGACTGTCAGCGCTCAGAGCACAGAAGAGATTTCTGTAAGAATTCCCGAGTGACTGAAGATATATATTTTTTAATTGAAGGCTTTAGAATTTGCAAGTTTACAGGTGGCTTTGTATGTCTAAAGCTTCAGACACAACTATAATGTAATGGATGCTTGAAAAAAATGCTGCTGCAAACTTTAGTTAGGTGTTTTTTAAACATCCTGTGTTTAAGGTCCTATTCTGTTCTTATTTTTCAATGAGACTAACAGGTACAAAATGTTTACAGAACTTGACTACAGCAAAAGTTTAGCCTTCTGCCCCGGGGCAGTACATTTAGATAATGGTAACAGTTAAGATTATCTCGGGCTTTATACATCTATTGTGTCTTTAATCATTGAAGAATGTGGCTTACCCTGTCTGCTGACAGACTAGGGGGGAGATAACACAGGGAGCCAATTCTGTGGCATTTCTGACCCTCCTTTCCATTTGGACAATGCTGAAACTGCTTGGAAAGGAGATGCAAATATCTCCCCCCTCCCTCCGCGAGCAGCCGCGCTTTGCGCTGAGGTTCCATCTCCAGGGGCGCTGGGGTGGGTCCGCAGAGTTCACCCCCGTCCCCACCCCGTGTGGCACCAGCGACCCCCGTCCGCTCTGTGTGGCACCAGCTGGGGGGGTTGCTGTGCCGGGGGAGCAGCAGCGACCGTGGCTGAGGAGGGGCGAGGGGAAAGGGCAGCGGACCCCTGCCCGGGCTGCACTGCCTGGAGCCGTGCCAGCGCCGGGCGGTGGGTGACACTTCGGGCTCCTCCACGGCTTGAAAAGTTGTGTTCTTGTGCCGCACGTCACAGGAGTTATTTTTGCAGTAGTACTTAAGCTATAGAGAGAATGACAAAGATAGCGAGGAATGTAATTGAGCTTAAGTCTGCAAATCCTTTTAAATCCACAGTTTCAATTCAGCTGAAGATTTACAGTCTGAATGGTAATTTGTGATTGGTAGTAGGTTGGCAGAAACTGAAAAAATTTCTTTGAAGATTATCTGAACTGACGAGATTACCAGAATCTTTTGTTTACTCTTGACACACAGAGACATTGTGCAACGTTTTATTGTGTCCACCAAAGCAAACAGGAGCCGGGAGGGGGGGCAAAGAGGGTGGGGGGCGGGAGAGACAAGAACATATAAAGGGAAATTGCAGGTGCCCGTCCTGTGTTTTTATTTCGCATTTTCCACAAGGTTCATGAACGCAGAATGAAGCTGTTCTTCCTAAACTGCTTGCTGGTTTTGTGCTGTTGCCGAGCTGGGGCAGTGAACAGGGAGTACTACATCGGCATTACAGAGACAGTGTGGAACTATGCCCCTGGGAACACCGATATCGTATCTGGACAGCTTTTTGCAGAAGAAGAGTAAGTAAAACGATTTGCACTGGCTGAGTTTGATTTTACAGCATTGTCTGCTTTAGACACTGGGGCCAGACTGAAAACCTGGAGAAGGCAGTGAAATGGATTATGTTGGTGTCAGTGGCTGTTCTGTCAAACATTTAAGGGAATTTTGATTTTTTCATGGCTTGCTTGAGAATTGCATTCCAATGGTCTGCTAATTAAAAGCATCGGTATATGTAGGTTTCTCATGAATTTGTTGCAATTAAATGTTTACTAATTAGAGTCTAGAAAAAGAGTCTGAATGTCTAATGATGTTTGATTTTGAATGGCTAAGGTGCCAGAGCTGAAGGGAAGACTTTTTCTCTTATTTTTTAGATGCAGAAGTTTGACAAATTTAACGCTTCCCTATTGGGCACATGTTTCCATTCTAGACACTCAGTGTTGGTGCAGCGACACAGCCAGGTCCCTCCATCCACAGCGGAGGAGCTGGATCACTTGTTACAAGACAAGAAGGGTCCTGTGCAGAGTGAGAGTGATGAGTAGGATGAGGATAAGCATGGCGAGGAGGAGGGGAGCACCCTGAGGATGTGAAGAATCAATAAAGAAAACTCAGATGTAAAGCATCAGAGAAATAGTTGAGAGAGAAAAATGTTACTTCCTTCTATTTTTTTTTCAGTGCCTTTAAAATGAAATAGGACTATACTAAAATAAAAAAATAAGAGAGAAATCAGAAATTAGGAAAAATCTCAAAAATACAGTTCTCGTTTAGCCTGTAGATAAGGGATTAGAAGATTTCCTGTGCTTTGTTTTCTCTAGTGAGAGCCAACAATAATACCTCAGCCATAATCTCACTTCATTAGGCATGAGATGAAGCAGTCAACTATTTTTTTTTTTTTTACTTATAAACTTATGGACATGTAAGACACTGCCAGTGATTCAGCAGGCTAGTAGTTCTGATAAATGATGGAAGCGGGGCATCTTGTCTGAAAATTGCAGAGCAGTGTTGCAATACAAGCCACCACCATTCACTGCACTTCCACGGTTTTTCTCTGCTCTGTGACAACCTGCAGCATGCTGAATTAATTCCAGTCTTGCAGTGGTTGTATGCCTGCAGTGGAGCTGGTCCCTTTTATCTTACTTTTCATTTCCAGCTTCTCTGATTCTTCTTCTCCTCCCGAACTCTTCAACTATGAGGCTCTGCTTGTACAGAGATTCACATTTACAGAGGCAGGGAAGAGCAGGGGAAGGGAAGCGTGCGGTGTACGTGGTAGAAGGAATACTCTGCAATCAAATGGTAGCTATTTAAACAGTCCAAGAAGAGCCATAACCTATTTGTTTTATTTAATTTGTGGCTAAAAAGTTTCATGCACTCAGACTTCCAGTAGCTGAGCCTTTGTGACTAAGTTTATGCTCTCCAAATTTCATGGAGCTCTGAACTGGCATTTTAATTACACTTCAGATCTGTGCTTGCCAAGGTACAAACAATTCCTTCCCCATGTGCTCAAACAATGCTCAGCTTTGTGGGAAATACTTCACATTTTTGGGCAATATTAACTTGCTTCCCCGTATGGCCAGCTGGGAATATGAAACCAGGTTGGCTGGCTAAGATGGGAAATCAGGAGGCTGCTGGACTTTCAGGCAGTGTCACCCTGTCTCCCGGGATTGCCTCCTCCTGGAGCAGGTTTACTTCCACAGCTGGTCCTCCTGAAATGGGCAGGGAGATGTGCAGGAGGATTTGTCTCTAATGAGGCTCTAGAGCTTGGGCAAAGAGCATCAGCCCACGGCAGCACCGCGGATCTGAACAGCCGGTGCTGGCAGCATCTCTCACCACGGCAGTTAGTGAACAGAAGCACTCCCCACAAAGACAACGTTTCTCGGAGACTAAAATGTTTAGTGAAAGGCACCTGGCCCTCCACACAGGCAGAGGCTGGCCCCGAAGCCATCCCCAGTCGATCGTTGTCAGAGACGAGCGGTGGCCCCTGTGGCCGGTGGTGCTTGGGCGGCGCGTCCCCAGCAGCCCCGTGGTTCGGAGCATTGATGCCATGTGTTGGAATCGCCGTCTCCATCAGTCTCATTTTAGCCCATGGGTTAGGCTGTTTCCTCACTCACCAAGCTCTCATTTTTAATGTGTTTTGTTAACTGAGAGAAGCAACGGTCCAGTAGTTAGAATCATAGAATCATAGAATCATT